TCGACAGAAAAACAAATAGTTGGCCAATGGGAATATTTTTGCCACGTGAAAAAAATAATACTATTTTTTTTGTATTCAAAATTTTGCGTATATTTTTATAGAAAAAATTGTAGGCCGTCAGTGACAATTCTTCTGCTTGATAACATCAAAATATCTGACGTTATTCTATAGCCTGGCTGAGAAAGTATTAGTTTTTAATGGCACACATTGGATAATATGGGGGCGTATAAGTACTGGCGTAACGTATACGCTCTTCAATTGAAACAGAGGAAGGAATATATTCCGTGTTATAAGGAAGTATTAGTTTTTAAATGTGCACCATGGAGAAAATAAGTGCGTAGACTTTGGAGAATATGAGGGCAACTAAGGAAGCAGTATATTCCGAATTATAGAGAAACTTGAATATGTCGTTTCTGTAGAAATATTTGCAGGCCTCTGACTAATTTGGATAATATGGGCGCGGATAAGTTTGAAGAATATAAGGGCAACTAAGAAGCAATATATTCTGAATTCTGGAGAAACTTGAATATTTCAGTTCTATAGAAATATTTGCAGGCCTCTGACTAATTTGGATTATATGGGGGTGGATAAGTACTGTCGTAACGTATACGCTCCCCAATAGCAAGTGAAGAAGGAATATATTCCGAATTATGAGAAAGTATTAGTTTTTAAATGTGCATAATGGAGAAAATGTCTGACTGATTTTTTCGGTAGACAAATATTGACTGTAATTTTAATATCGGCATTTTTTTCGATAAATGTTATCTGTTTGTTGAGGTATACAGCAACAATTATTACTCGAGGAGATTGGGGCGAATAATTACTGTCGTTAAGTATACGCTCCCTAATCATAAACGTGAAAACAATTTATTACGATTTTTTTCTATAGAAAAAATCGTATTTCTAAAGAAAGAAATGCAGACCTCTTAGAAAAAAAAAGCTTCTATAGAAAAAAATCAGAACTGAGGTCCTGCGAATTTTTTCTATAGAAAAAAATCAGAACTGAGGTCCTGCGAATTTTTTCTATAGAAAAAAATCAGAACTGAGGTCCTGCGAATTTGTTTTCTATAGAAAAAAATCAGAACTGAGGTCCTGCGAATTTTTTCTATAGAAAAAATCAGAGCTGAGGTCCTGCGAGGTCCTGCGAATTGTTTTCTATAGAAAAAAATCAGAACTGAGGTCCTGCGAATTTTTTTCTATAAAAAAAATCAGAACGGAGGTCCTGCGAATTTTTTTCATTATTTTTTGTGCGAAAACTGATCAGTTTGTAGATGTATACAACGACAATTATTAATCGAGGAGATGGGGGCGAATAATTAATGTCGTTAAGTATACGCTCCCTAATCCTAAACGTGAAAACCATTTATTACGATTTTTTCTATAGAAAAAAGTCGTATTTCTAAAGAAAGAAATGCAGGCCCCTGAGTACTGAGAATGAACTCCCCTCTAGCACATTTTTTGTTATTGGAAACAATGTCCTGTTCTTGTTTTTATTATTTTTTAAATTATTTTTCTCTTCACACCACCCCAATATCCCTTTCGCCACAAAGTATTCTTATACCTGGAATACAACTATTGTAAATTGTTGTGTGTCTGTGTATGCGGTAAACGAGCAAAAAGGAAACCGCAAATATAGCTCTCTTGTACAACGACGACGACCAAAGTGTAGGATACCCCAAAATGAAACCAGAACATGAAGGATATTCTTCTGTTCTGGTGGTTTGCTGAGGTGGGTAATTATTTTGTTGTTGTTTTTTCTTTTTGTTTGCCTTGCAATGTGGACCAGGACAGCAATTTTAATTTGTCATTTGAAACGATGAGTGCTGATACAAGGATATTTTATACACAAACACAACTCAGTATCCTGTTTTACTCGTCCGCCACATCTTCATCTCCATTTCCACCTCTTTCTCTTAATAATTAATGTTTTTTCAAAGACTTACTTCCGTTCGCTTTTCACTTTTCGTTTTCCATTTTTTGTTTCATTTCTGTTTGTTGTAATTGTGGCATATTCTTCTTTTCATTGTTTATCTACCTCCATTGTAGCCCAAGCCCATTGTTTTGTCATGAGCAATACAAAATGTATATATCAGTGGATGTGTGTGCATTTTAATGTCAGTTGCCATGGTTAAGAGAGAAGAAATATGGGAAAACAATTGAAAGGCTCTTTACAAACAAACGAAAAAAAAACCTCATGAAAAGATACTTTGTTGGAATATTACTGTAGATTTTTTAAGTTGCCATTAAAAACGAACAATAGGGGTTTAAAGTAAGTGGCGGATGTATAGGAAATTTGTATGTGGCAATGTGACGATCCTTTAAGAGGATGGACTGCTGTATGTCTTTTATCTATAGAAATGTTTTATTATCAGGTTTTGAATTACTGAACATAATAGTTACTTTTTCATGGAGGACATGGGGGCGTATATGTAGTGTCAGTACGTATACGCTAACTTTTTGATAAATGAGGTATTCCCAGTGACTGAAGATTCTAATTAGGTCTGTGAGACTGTTAAAAGGCAGTCCTGAGGTCCTGCGAATTTTTTTTTATAGAAAAAAAGCAGAATTGACAGAACTGAGGTCCTGCGAATTTTTTTCTATAGAAAAAAAATGCAGAACTGAGGTCCTGTGAATTTTTTTCTATAGAAAAAAAATGCAGAACTGAGGTCCTGCGAATTTTTTTCTATAGAAAAAAAGTGCAGAACTGAGGTCCTGCGAATTTTTTTTTATAGAAAAAAAGCAGAACTGTGGTCCTGCGAATTTTTTTCTATAGAAAAAAAGCAGAACTGAGGTCCTGCGAATTTTTTTCTATAGAAAAAAGCAGAACTGAGGTCCTGCGAATTTTTTTCTATAGAAAAAATGCAGAACTGAGGTCCTGCGAATTTTTTTCTATAGAAAAAAATGCAGAACTGAGGTCCTGCGAATTTTTTTCTATAGAAAAAAATGCAGAACTGAGGTCCTGCGAATTTTTTTTTATAGAAAAAAATGCAGAACTGAGGTCCTGCGAATTTTTTTCTATAGAAAAAAGTGCAGAACTGAGGTCCTGCGAATTTTTTTCTATAGAAAAAAAGTGCAGAACTGAGGTCCTGCGAATTTTTTTCTATAGAAAAAAAGTGCAGAACTGAGGTCCTGCGAATTTTTTTCTATAGAAAAAAAGTGCAGAACTGAGGTCCTGCGAATTTTTTTCTATAGAAAAAAAGTGCAGAACTGAGGTCCTGCGAATTTTTTTCTATAGAAAAAAAGTGCAGAACTGAGGTCCTGCGAATTTTTTTCTATAAAAAAAAGTGCAGAACTGAGGTCCTGCGAATTTTTTTCTATAGAAAAAAAGTGCAGAACTGAGGTCCTGCGAATTTTTTTCTATAGAAAAAAAGTGCAGAACTGAGGTCCTGCGAATTTTTTTCTATAGAAAAAAAGTGCAGAACTGAGGTCCTGCGAATTTTTTTCTATAGAAAAAAAGTGCAGAACTGAGGTCCTGCGAATTTTTTTCTATAGAAAAAAAGTGCAGAACTGAGGTCCTGCGAATTTTTTTCTATAGAAAAAAAGTGCAGAACTGAGGTCCTGCGAATTTTTTTCTATAGAAAAAAAGTGCAGAACTGAGGTCCTGCGAATTTTTTTCTATAGAAAAAAAGTGCAGAACTGAGGTCCTGCGAATTTTTTTCTATAGAAAAAAAGTGCAGAACTGAGGTCTTGCGAATTTTTTTCTATAGAAAAAAAGTGCAGAACTGAGGTCCTGCGAATTTTTTTCTATAGAAAAAAAGTGCAGAACTGAGGTCCTGCGAATTTTTTTCTATAGAAAAAAAGTGCAGAACTGAGGTCCTGCGAATTTTTTTCTATAGAAAAAAAGTGCAGAACTGAGGTCTTGCTAATTTTTTTCTATAGAAAAAAAGTGCAGAACTGAGGTCCTGCGAATTTTTTTCTATAGAAAAAAAGTGCAGAACTGAGGTCCTGCGAATTTTTTTCTATAGAAAAAAAGTGCAGAACTGAGGTCCTGCGAATTTTTTTCTATAGAAAAAAAGTGCAGAACTGAGGTCCTGCGAATTTTTTTCTATAGAAAAAAAGTGCAGAACTGAGGTCCTGCGAATTTTTTTCTATAGAAAAAAAGTGCAGAACTGAGGTCCTGCGAATTTTTTTCTATAGAAAAAAAGTGCAGAACTGAGGTCCTGCGAATTTTTTTCTATAGAAAAAAAGTGCAGAACTGAGGTCCTGCGAATTTTTTTCTATAGAAAAAAAGTGCAGAACTGAGGTCTTGCGAATTTTTTTCTATAGAAAAAAGTGCAGAACTGAGGTCCTGCGAATTTTTTTCTATAGAAAAAAAGTGCAGAACTGAGGTCCTGCGAATTTTTTTCTATAGAAAAAAAGTGCAGAACTGAGGTCCTGCGAATTTTTTTCTATAGAAAAAAAGTGCAGAACTGAGGTCTTGCGAATTTTTTTCTATAGAAAAAAAGTGCAGAACTGAGGTCCTGCGAATTTTTTTCTATAGAAAAAAAGTGCAGAACTGAGGTCCTGCGATTTTTTTTCTATTGAAAAAAACAGAACTGGGGGTCTGCGATTTTTTTCTATAGAAAAAAAGCAGACCTGAGGTTTTGTGAATTTTTAAGAGTATTTTTTCTCACTTTAATTTGTTGGCCCCTGGTTGCGTATGAGTATTGACATAATGTATACGCCACCTTGGAACATTTGTCTTTTTATGCCTTTATCTATCTCTCCTTCATTCTTTTCCTTACTGTCGCAATAAATTACCAACATTCGTAACAATGTGACCGTTAATGTGACGGAAAAGAAAAATCACAATCATCCACATCGTCATCATCATCATTATTATTATCATTATAATGAAATGTCTTGTTCTTTATTAATATGGCCACGTCCGTTAAAATATCAAGAAGGTAAAAGAAAGATATAAACCTTGGTGGTTGGTATCTTGTGGCTCTTGTAAAGTAATATTTAATCGTGCGAAAAAAGAAGTGAAGAACAAAAAACGAAATTGTATTCTTGCTTACCTGATTTCCTTTGGAGCCATGGCAAGGATACAGCATAACATCATGTCCCGCATAATCAAGACAGGCTTCATCACGGCGAATTTCACCTGCCTTACTCAGCATCCAGTACTGCAAAATTTTGAGTGTGTGTGCGAGTGTTTCAAAATTCATCCAACCATATGAAGAATGGTAACCACCACACGTAGAAGATTTTAGGATAGGTTTAGGACGCGATGCAGCATATGGAAGACGTTGACGGGAGGGGTTTTATAAATGGTTTTTAGTTTATATGATATTGTCATCAACACCAGCACGTTGATGTCGGCAAATGTAATATTTTTGCCAAAACCCAGGTTGCAGCACCAGCAGCAGATATGCAAAAGGTTGGAAATTGCCACAAAGTTATTGCCATATGTTAGGCGCACACACACACATTGTTTATATTGCATATACATCCAGGCATCATAGTTGACGATGGTTGGTTGGTAGTAACAGGATTTTGTTGTTGTTGTTGCATACATTTTAAGTGGTTCAGGCGAAAAAATTTAATAGAAACGTAAAATGAAATAGAAAGAAAACATTATTAATAAAAGTGAATGCATGGGTGTCAGTGACTGTGGAGAATGCAATTTAATTTTTTTCTTATTTTTTATTTCAGGAAAATATTTTTTCCCAACAACAGCAAATGTATTTAGGGTGCACAGTAAATTCAATGAAGTACAAAATAATTGTTGAGATATTTTTTTATTATTATTTCATTGTATTTTTTTCTGTGGAGAAAATTTGTTATGAAGACATGACGATATTGGTCTGGAGTCTGTGGTATATGAAAAACAATTTTAGAATTGCAAAACAATATGAAATATATTGTAATATATAAAAATGTTATATTTTTATTATCAAAAATAAAAAAGAACCTCAGGACGTATTAGTGTTGACGTTACTAATACGGTGTTACCAAGGAACTTGAGGGCGTATTAGTATTGACGTTATTAATACGGCGTTACTAAGGAACTTGAGGGCGTATTAGTGTTAACGTTACCAATTCGCTCATTCGGAATCATTTTGATACACAAATGTTGACTTGAAAGGGAATAAGTCTTTCTGTTTCAAAAATGGAACAGTCCCAAGATATTGAAAATATTTTTCGTTTTGGGAGAAAAAAAAAATAGTATTAGAGATCTACGGTTCTTCATTTAAAGAAAATTTTTGAAAAAAATCTCTTCTGGAGCAATGAAAACTTTATGCTATGGACAAATTCCACATCTCGAGAACTATGAATTTTTTCTGTGGAAAATATCTGTCCTGGAGCAATGCGAAACAGTCTCAAGATATTGAAAATATTTTTCGTTTTGGGAAAAAAATTAGTATTAGAGAACTAGGGTTCTTTTTTTTAAAGAAAATTTGATGCTATGGAAAAATTCCACTTCTCGAGAACTGTGCATTTCTTCTGTGGAAAATATCTGTCCTGTAGCAATGCAAGTTTTATTTAACAAAAATATTAAACAATCTTGAGGCGTATTAGTATTGATTCGGCATTACTTAGGAAACTCTGGACATATTAGTATTGACATTACTAATACGCTACAGATTCCTTATTACATACAGTAATCGCCTGAGCGGGAATAAGAAATCAGTGTTCAACAACCGCATTTTTTTTAATGAGAAAAATTATTCCGGGAATTGTTTCAATTAAAATAAAAATACTAATTCTCGAGAACAACGAAAAGTTTTTATAAAAATATATCCTGGGTTAATGCGATTTTTTTCAATGGAAGAAATGTCAAATCTTAAGAACATGCGACTTTTCTATGGAAAAAACATATTTCGTAAATCTTGTAAAAATGCACAACTCCAGAACTAAGAATTTCCTTTTTCAGCCATAAATGACTTTGATTTCTTCTTTAAAAAATCGGTTCATAAAGATTATGTGGTATAAAAATCATAATGCTACATTTCTATTAATAAAGCCGTAAGGGAACTTTTGGGCGTATTATCATTGTCGTTACTTATACGTCTCAGATACCTAGTCAACCAAAATGTGAAGGAACGAAGTCAGTCAAAAAGACTTAGATTTCTTCTTTAAGAAATCGGTTCACAAGATCTGTGAGGTATAAAAAGTCATTATGCTACATTTTTATTAATAAAACCGTAAGGGAACCTTTGGGCGTATTAGCATTCTCGTTACTTATACGCTTCAAATGTGGACCGAAGATTTTTCCATAGGAAAAGTGACACGATACGATATAGACAGCTTTGATTTGTCTGTGAAAAAAATCTGAATTATATTATAAGGTAAAATGTTAGTTCTTGAGTTCTGCGAATTTGATTCTAGGCTAATAAATCATTCTGTAATTTTTTGAGAGGCCTTGAGGACTCCGTTTTATTTTACAAAACAAAAATATGTTCCCTTCGGAGCGTATTAGTGTTGTTGCTACTTATACGCCTCCGAATCTTTATCATGAAAATAAAAATTATGCAACCAGGAATTCATTCTTTAGTTTTAGACTAAATGTCCAAGAGCCACATTTTTTCCTTTGGAAAAATCCTTCTATGTTTTCCATGTTTTTTTTTTCAACAGAACGGCAAATTATTTCTATGGGGAAAGTATGTCTTTGAACACTCAGAACTTAATTCATTGTAAACTTTCAGTTCCCAAGATGCGAATTTTCAAATTTTTTTCTAGGAAAAAGATTTTGATTTTTGTTTCTATGAAAAATTCAAAGGTTCTCCTAACTATTTTTTATTAGAAGTAAATTTTATGTCCCTCACAACTGAGTTTTTTCT